TAAATATACTTAATTTTTAGTCAATGCGATACCATATCATTGATTTTCGGACAGCGGCGTTCGAAACAAGGTGGTGACGTTTAAAACAAACAACAAGGATATCTCGTAAACGACCAAAACCTTGCCAATTCTGATTGAGAGATTCGTTGAGGTAGCAAATCTTTAAGCAGAGGGGACAATTCTAGACCGTCATCAGAACATAGGTAGATCCAGGAGAGAGGCGGCGAGGTGCGAGGGAAGGGAAGGATCTTTCGCCCCTTGCTCTCTTCCTTCGTGGCGCAGGCTTCAGGGCTGCAAAAGTCCGGGCCTAAAGCCAGAACTAAAGCAAAATAAAGTATAAGGTAACTCCAAACTAAAGTAATTCTAAGCAGCAGTGTTACATCTCTATTCCTAATTTTTGCATAGTTTCACGGCAGGAGGGGACTCTCCTCCCCAACCCCACCGCCTCCCCCAGGAGTCCCACTCTTAGTCGCCCCCTCCCTCCTCTAGGAGTCCGGCCTGGATCCGCCTATGCAGCAGGCTGACCATCATGCGATGCAGCAATGGTCAAAACAACCAGGAAACTTTTAAGCCACACAGCTGAAGAATTAAACTATAAATTACCACTGGACCCGAATACAAAATAAGAACAACCAAAAAATTGCGCAGCAAAAAAGCTTACTTTTTTTGAGCTTGCTTTGACAGTTGCATAATTATTACGTGCGCTATCAAAATCAACAAGTTTCCGCCCTCGTTTCGCCACTTTTGCTTTCAGATCAGAAAATTGCGTCATATACGAATTCACAGAGCCCATCACTTGTTCATTCACTATTTTCTCGAATTCATCCCACTGAAGATCCAGTGTCTGCAAAATATTACTGTTCCACTACAGGAGCAGATTTTTTCAGTTGCGTTTAATTTTTTAAAATATCTTTTTTAATATAGAAAGTATACTTTTTAATTTTTTTTATATCTTTTTTTATTTCGGTATAGAAAATATCCTTCTGTAAAAAAACACTTCTGTACTATACAAGCAAAATTTTTATTTGCGTTTAACTTTTTTATAAAATATTCTTTTTTTTTTAATTTGATATAGAAAATAAAAAAATATGGAAAAATTTAATATATTTTTTTTATTTCGGTATAGAAAATATCCTTCCATAAAATACTACTGTTCTGTATGAGCGAAATTTTTATTTGCGTTAAGTTTTTTTTTTACAAAATATCCTTTTTTAGTATTTGGTATAGAAAACATTCTTTTTTTTTAGTTTTTTTTATAAAACATCCTTTTTTTTAATTGATATAATTTTGACTGACAGTATTGAACGAAAAGATGGAGTCCGAGTAACATCACTGATATGGGATAACCGCACTGACTGTCCGGATGATCTTGGTATTCCTGATAATTAAAATGAATTTTTATCACGCCGTGTTGAAATTAACAAAATATTTATACTTTTGCTAATAATTTATGCTTAAAACGCATAAGGTCTTGTAACTGTGACTTCAAAAAAACGCAGATTCCCTCCATTTCTTTGGTGATTTCAGATCCTTAAGCATTAATATTCCGTACAAGGCCTTCTGAAATAAAAAAAGAGAAAACTCCGTTCAGAACTTTCTGAAATTAAAAAAAAAAAAAACCTGTGTAATTGCACACAAATGTTCACGATCAGGCCAATCTGGTTCATAGAGTTCTCGTATTGTTTCTCGAAGTGTTTTCTGTGCTTGAACCATTGTTTTCAGTGCTGTTCCGTAAGCCTTCAGATCGCGATAAAGCCTTTCGCAGGCTTTGCTTTGCTTACTTAAATTTGCAGCATGCTGATCAAATACATCATCTTGCGTGGCTTTTGCTTTTCCAAGCCCTTCGAGCAACTGAAAATTTTACGTGAGACGTACAACAAAGTGTCAAGCAAGTACATAGTTATATGCAAGAAGTACTACACTTCGTTGCGCTGTAATAAGCACATGGTGAGTAGGAGGCTGTACTGATGGTTCCCGCTCCTAACGGCATGCAGAGTTCGATCAGTGTTTACAGCTAAGGGATGAAACACAGGCTGCACCGTAAAATGTCTTCTTCTTATAAATGACACTTATGTTCAGACCCTCTATTCTACTATTTAATAAATTCTATTGAGTATAGAAGTTATCCAGAAATACCGATGCTACTATAAAACAAAATAATCCGGTTTTCTTCGACAATCATAGCAAAACAGCGGCAAGTATTACAACCTCCAATTACTCCAGTGCGCAACAAGACACATAAGCAAAAACTCAAATTACTCCAGTGTTCAGGTATGGATGAACTATGTATTCATGTGTGTCTCTGCTTCAGATAACTAAACTTCAGAACTATAAAAAACTTCCGTCCCAAACAAAAAAATTAAAGTCGAAAATCCAACAAAACATCAGATTACAGGTAATATGTCCTAACCCTTGTACATGGTACAACGCTCCATGCAAACGTTCCGCACAGGCTCGTTACTTGTACAGGTCCCTCATCGTTACTTATATAGGTTGCTCCACCGTTTCGTGCTGTAGCAATGCTGGGTGTTTACTTGGATCAGTTGCCATTACACGAACTCTGATGGCATGTTACTTGTAATCTGATGTTTTCGTGTCCCTGCGTATCTGTCTGCCGCAAGAGGCTGAAGCACTCGGAAGTAGTCCAAGTGCTAGCAAATGCCAATAGCAACCACTCGTTGGTAAAACAATCAATAGCTCTCCCCTTTCCATGAGTTGCGA